AACAACAACAACAACAACAAGGGAAACTTCACCAAAGTGAAACATAAATCTGTGGATCTGTGTTTGATTACTCTGCCTGGCAAGGACCAGGATGTGACACAAAAATCTGAATTATGGAACTGAAAGTGAAAGTAGTCAAACTGAATTTTTAATAAACCAAAATACAGTTTCAAAGCAAATTAATTCAGATACAAAACTTTAAATTCAGTTTCAAATTAGTAAAATTTATTTTCAAACCAATGCATTCAATTTCAAGTTATGCACATTCAGATTCAGTTCCTGCTGGCCCAAGATTTATCCCATAGAAGTCTCTATACCTTAGAAGAACAGAGAGACGCCACTGCTGGCTCGTCACGGTCCTTTCAGGGTTCACCGACAGAGCCCAGGTTCGGCCCTTTGCATCCAGAGACTTTTTGGCTCCTCCTGTGTTCTGTCTATGAGAGATCAGCTCCAGGAAGTTGGTGAGGAGCACCGTGGACCGGGCAGCGAGTAGAGATGGGTAGTGCTCCAGGTAAACATCTAAAACGTTCATGGCATCTTCCTGGATGCCTGGCTCGATGTGGGTCATGGCACAAGTCAAGTGAGCGCTGAGGAGCGGGAAAAACGGAGACACTTTTTCTGCAGTCACAGACTGCGCGACAAACCTGCGGGCACATTTAGATAGCATGTAGTAAGTATATGCAAGTATCCTTAAAGTGTACTAAATTAAAATTAAAATGAAAAGAGTATACTTCCCGTTTACTTTTTACGTACTTATCTGAGATTTACTTAACCAAGTTGATCTTACACTATGCTTGGATTGTACTACTAAAATTTTTAGTATTTTTAGTCTATATTAATGTTTAAACTTTTGTCCAAGATAAACTTTAATAGTACACTGAAAGTACATTTTCACACAGACTGGTTAATTTTGTCGTATATTTCAAGATTAAACTAAAAGTATACTTAGAAGACTACTTTCAGTATATTTCTGAGTATACTTTCTTAAATTTACTGTGGGCCAATTTAGTCCTAGAAGTATGTTAGTAAACTGCTAGTATACTTAGTGTACATGGTAAATAAAAGCCCACTTAGGGAAATACACTTTTATGTACTTTAGTATACTTAATGCCATGTACTAAAAAGTATACTTCTTTTTGGTAAGTTTATGAACTTAAAAAGACATAACAGTATACTTAAAATATACTTTTTATAAACAAAAAAAGTCCCAATTTAGTACAAAAAAGTATTAAATCAGTATACTTTCTAGTACACTACAAGTACATGGTGCCTAGTATACTTGATACACTTTTATACTCAAGTATATTTATCAAAATTAACTTTAATTATACTACTTTTTACTAAGGGGTTGCTTGAGGTTGAAACAGTACCGCAGACCAAATTTGTGTCACTGTTGCGTCTCTCACCTGAGTACACGTGTCGCTGCCACACGAACGTTTCTATCCTTTTCTGTGACAACAGCTGCCACTTCAGAAAGCAAACGTGAAAGATTCTGCTCCAACAGAGATGGATTAACAGACAGCAGCTCTTTCAAACCCAACAAGGCACTGTGTTTCATGTTGGCGTTGTAATGATGCAGCTGGGACAGGAGTTCCTGAGAAGAGAAAACGATGAGCTAAAACGTTGTATTAAAATGAATCTGGAGTTTTGTTGTACCTACATTGATACCCAGTTGTCTGTGAGTTGTGGGGCCACTCGTGTCTCTCTTCAGTTGTTCAGACAGATGGATTCCCCTTGTCCGAAAGTTGGTGTTGGTGGCGTTATCCGCTTTTGGTTTTTTCTTTCCCACTTTTAATTTGACCTTTTGGAAATCATCCTGCCTCTTCTTCTTCTTGGACTTCATCTTTTTTTTTCACAGTATGTTTATCTCCTAGACATAAAAAGAAATATTCATATGTGGATTGATTTCCAGTCATGTACACGACATTGCTCAAGATTTTTGATGGGGAATAAAAAACAAAACAAAACTAAGAAGTGCATTAGACGTGCGTTGCACCCACATGCTAATCGCTAACATGCATGAGTGTTAGGTTTCCTTAAACTTACCGAAAAGGATTTGACTTCAACTGTCAGTTATTACAACAATAAGGATTCAAACGGTATGTTAAGTTGAAGACATTTACACCTAGTGAAAGAATTTCTATTCATACGAATTTTTTTTTCCCAATCTCGTCTCTGTTGCTCACTGGGTCCTTTGACTAGTGTGTGTTTACAAAGCTGCAACTGTACGACTGCGGAGCTAGCGTCAAAAAGAAGACTTGAGTCTCTGTATGTAAGGTGAATTGTAGTTTTTTAATAGTTATTGATACTTTTTATTGTAAATGAACAAACAAGAATAAAAATATTCTGAACTAAGCGTTTTATAAAATGTAAACACGTAAAACATTTCACTCTCGGAAAGCGTTACGGTACGTCTTGGTATAAGAAACAAACGCACCACATAGCCGTCTACACGTGTGCCTGATGAAAATTAGCTATTTCAGTAAGTCTTAAAAAAAGAAAAATATTGTAATCATTTTTACGTTTATTGGATTCAATAATTTGACTTTGCTGCGTATTGTAAACATAAAACTACTAAAGATTAGAAATTAATCTCATTTTAAAAAGGCGAAATCTTTGACCTCCTATTTGGTTGGCTCGTTCCAAAATCAGAAAACAACCTGAACCGACGGCTCACGAAAAACTTGGTGTTTGCAATATAATATCCAGGTATGGCGTGCTATAAATTGTTGTTTACATAATGTAAACGCCTGCACTATATAACTTTTAACTTGCTGAAATTGTATTTTAGTGGCATTGATTGTAATTCTCTGCAAATATGCGACCTCTGGCTAGGCAAGGCCTGCATGAAAACGGACACAAAGCTAATCCTTGATTATTAAAAGCCTAGCATTCCATTGGGTTAATAAAAAAATCATATCGCCCTCCGCCTGTAATGCTAAACTATTAGAGTAATATTATCTTACGCTGAGAAATGACGCAGTTGCAGCCGTTTTGTTCAAACTTAATGCAAAATACTGTAATCTCGTACAGTATCGCGATGCCACACAGTTTGCGTTAATTATTTGTAACAATAATTGAGTTGGAGCCATGTTTGTGTATAAGATGTTGAATTGTGTTTGCTCTAAATGTTATATAGTTGTTTTTTATTTGCATCTGTTCATGTATGAACTAACTTGAATACTGAAATACTTGTTTCCATAATTTCATAATACTCAGAACATGGACTTTATGGCGACTCAGGGTTTTGGAGAAAAGCGACCAGGTCCGCCTGCACAAACTGGTCCTTCAAGGAAAAAGTTTAAGGTACATAATTTATTATATGCATCTTGTAACACTTCACACAACAAACATTTTCAGAATGACATTTTTCACCTAATTGTGTCAAAAAAAATTTCTTACTACAATAAATCGTTGGCCTTTTTAGGCTGCTTGATGAGCCATTGTGGCAGCAGTCCTTTCTTGGTGGACTTGAAGTTCTCAGGCTCTTATGCCTGTCACGCTCCTGCCTCTCTAGGCTCTTTCATAAAACAGTTCCGCAACATGGCAGCACAGACCAGACCGTCTTTATGGTCCCTCTGGTCATTTAACACATTCTAGGTGGAGCCGGCCACGTCCCACACAGATGTGAGCTTACAGAGATGAAGCGAGCTTTAGGGATCTAAAAGAGGCGTGGAGCAGAATTCATCTGTTTTGGTTTGGAGCCCAACACATTAAATGTGATGGACGTATATCTTTCTAACAAACATGATGGATTAACTCTGTTTAGTGCTTCTCTTTGTGTTTACATAATTGTTTTGATTAAATATAAAGTTAATGTACCTCATCATTAATAATCCCTCTGTAATAAACCTGATTGTTGTTTAATCCGATGACCAGCTTGTTGCACAGAGCAGACCAGTTATTGAGCCACGGCACCAGCTTGCTTTTTTACATGTTGTTCGTTTCGCTTGTTCGCGTCACTGCCTCTCTTGGTAAGACAGAGGTGCATCATGAGTGAGTTTATGGCTTCAACCTTTCTCATCGCCTTGATATATTCAGAATTCGATTGAATAAAATTAATTTTTATATTTCATTAAATTAATATTGAAATATATTTGGAGCCCGGTCGGGTACAGCCCGAAGAGGAAACGTGGGTCCCCCTTCCCATGGGCTCACCATCTGTGGGAGGGGCCAAAGGGGTCGGGTGCATTGTGTGTTGGGCAGTGGTCGAAGGCGAGGACCTTGGCGGTCTGATTCTCGGCTACAGAAGCTGGCTCTAGGGACGTGTAATGTCACCTCTCTGGTGGGGAAGGAGCCTGAGCTGGTGTTTGAGATTGAGAGGTTCCGACTAGATATAGTCGGACTCACCTCGACGCACCGCTCTGGCTCTGGAACCAGTCTCCTCGAGAAGGGTTGGACACTCTTCCACTCTGGTGTTGCCCATGCTGAGAGGCGCCGAGCAGGAGTGGGCATACTTATTGCCCCCCATCTTGGTGCCTGTACATTGGGGTTCACCCCGGTGAACGAGAGGGTAGCCTCCCTCCGCATACGGGTGGGGGGATGGGCCCTGACTGTTGTTTGTGCCTATGCGCCTGACAGCAGTTCAGATTACCCACCCTTTTTGGAGTCCATGGAGTGGGTGCTGGAGAGCGCTCCTAACGGGGACTCCCTCGTTCTGCTGGGGGACTTCAACGCTCATGTGGGTAATGACAGTGAGACCTGGAGGGGTGTGGTTGGGAGGAGCGGCCCCTCGATCTGCACCCGAGTGGTGTTTATTGGACTTCTGTGCTCGTCATGGATTGTCCATAACAAACATGTTCAAGCATAAGTGTGTCCATTTGTCAACTGTCCACTACCTGGTGGTGAGTTGGCTCCGATGTTGGGGGAGGATGCTGGTCAGACCTGGCAGACCCAAATGTATTGTGAGGGTCTGCTGGGAACATCTGGCAGAGTCTCCCGTCAGACAGAGCTTCAACTCACACCTCTGGAGAACTTTGAACACATTCTGGGGGAGGTGGGGGACATTGAGTCCGAGTGGGCCATGTTCCGTACCTCCGTTGTCGAGGCACCTTGCCTGAGCTGTGGCCGTAAGGTTGTCAGTGCCTGTTGTGGCGGCAACCCTTGAACCCACTGGTGGACGTCGGCAGTGAGGGATGCTGTCAGGCTGAAGAAGGAGTCCTATCGGGTCTTTTTGACCTGTGGGACTCCGGAAGCAGCCGATAGGTATTGGCAGTCCAAGCGGATTGAGGCTCGGATGGTTGTTGAGGCAAAAACTCAGACATGGGAGAAGTTCGGAGAGGCCATGGAAAAAGACTACGTTTTCGAGGCGATTCTGGTCCACCATCCGGCGTCTCAAGGGTGGAAAGCGGTTCGCCACCAACACTACTTATGGTGGGGATGGTGCGCTGCTAACCTCAACTTGGGACATTGTGGGTCGGTGGGCGGAATACTACGAAGACCTCCTCAATCCTACCGACATGTCTTTCCATGAGGAAGCAGAGCCTGAGGACCCTGGGTCGGACTCTCCAATGTCTGGTGCAGAGGTCACTGAGGTGGTTAAAAAGCTCCTCGGTGGCAGGGCGCCGGGGTTGGATGAGATTCTCCTGGAGTTCCTTAAGGATCTGGATGATGTTGGGTTGCAATGGTTGACGCAACTCTACAGTATTGCGTGGACATCGGGGGCAGTTCCCCTGGATTGGCAGACCGGGGTGGTGGTCCCCTTATTTAAAAAGGGGGACCGTAGAGTGTGTTCCAACTATAGGGGGATCACACTTCTGAGCCTCCCTGGTAAGGTCTATTCAGGGGTCCTGGAGAGGAGGGTCCATCGGATAGTCGAATTTCGGATTCAGGAAGAGCAGTGTGGTTTTTGTCCAGGTCGTGGAGCAGCGGACCAGCTCTACACCCTCAGCAGGGTCCTGGAGGGTGCATGGGAGTTCGCCAACGTGTGTTTTGTGGACTTGGAGAAGGCGTTCAACCGTGTCCCTCGGGGACTCCTTTGGGGGGTACTGTATGGGGTACCAGACCCGTTGATACAGGCTGTTAGGTCCCTGTACGACCGGTGCCAGAGCTTGGTCCACATTGACGGTAATAAGTCGACTCTTTTCTGGTGAGAGTTGGACTCCGCCAAGGTTGCCCTTTGTCACCGATTCTGTTCATAACTTCTATGGACAGAATTTCTAGGAGCAGCCGAGGTGTTGAGGGGATGCGTTTTGGTGACCTTAAGATCACATCTCTGCTTTTTGTGGATGATGTGGTCCTATTGGCTTCATCAGATCCTGATCTCCAGCTCTCCCTAGAGCAGTTCGCAGCCGAGTGTGAAGCGGCTGGGATGAGGATCAGTGCCTCCAAATCCGAGACCATGGTCTTGAGCCGGAAAAGGGTAGGGTGCCTTCTCCAGGATGGGGAGGAGGTCCTGCCCCAGGTGGAGGACTTGTTCATGAATGGAAGAATGGAGCGGAAGATCAACAGGCTGATTGGGGCTGTGTCTGCAGTGATGCAGGCACTGTACCAGTCTGTCGTGGTGAAGAGAGCTGAGCCAGAAGGTGAAGCTCTCGATTTACTGTTCGGTCTACGTTCCTACCCTCATCTATGGTCAGGAGCTTTGGGTAGTGACCGAAAGAACAAGATTGCAGATACAAGCAGCCGAAACGAGTTTCCTCTGCAGGGTGTCTGGGCTCTCCTTTAGAGATAGGGTGAGAAGTTCAGTCATCCAGGAGGGACTCAGAGTAGAGCAGCTGCTCCTCCACGTCCAGAGGAGCCAGTTGAGGTGGTTCATCTGGTTAGGATGCCTCCTAGACACCTCCCTGGTGAGGTGTTCTGGACACGTCCCACTGGGAGGAGGTCCAGAGGATGACCCAGGACACGCTGGAGGGACTATGTTTCTCAGCTGGCCTGGGAACACTTTGGGATTCTCCCAGATGAGCTGGCCCAAGTGGCTGGAGAGAGGGAACTCTGGGTCTCTCTGCTTAGGCTGCTGCCCCCGTGACCCGACCCCGGATAAGAAGAAGAAAATGGACGGACGAAAATTAATATTCATATTTAGGCCACAGAGATGGCCAGAAGGCGTCTAAGTCCAGGCGTGGGCTGTCTTGTGAAAGAGCCTTCTGTCTCCTGTAGGGGCCTTGGGGCTCTGAAAACCAAACCAACAATAAGAACTGTTGGTGGTGGTTCCCCCCGGTGCATTTCCTAATGGTGCCAGAATCTGGGGGAAATATAAAAGCATGTGTGCAATTTCTGTTGACACACAAAAAAGCTCGAGACTTCTGTCTCTAAAGATATTTTTATTCAGATTGAGATGAAATTTAAAAAAACGCAATGATCTCTACTTAAAAACATGGTATATCAAATTGATAGGAAACGTTGTACTGTTCATATTTATCCTTGTGCAAGGGGTTGTATGTGGACATATATGTGCAACTTCTTTTGTTTCCATTTTTTAAGATCTGAATCTAAAGCACCAAAATACATCAGCCTGGCCAAAAGCACACACAGGTGGTGACCTCAGTGCTGTTTTGTGTGGCCATAATGGACAAGTATAGGTAGAATTTCAACAGCGCTCATGTAATACAAGTGTAATAACTCTACTTTTCCTTTCAAATCAGTAACAGTGTTGCTGTCCTCATTTGATGAGACTTTAGAGTTATCACTGGACGACACAGTTTCGAGCCCATGTCCGTTCATTCCCATGTCTGTCTCTGCTTGATGCGGGGTGGGGTCATGGGGAATGAAGGAGTGATGGCTCCGTGGCATGTATGGTGTGTTGGACATGGACGAAGAGTTCAGTCCTCTGCTCAGTGTCATCCTGTCACTAATTTCTGTGTCTCTTCTCCTCCTCGTGGGTTTATCCCCTCTGCTGACAGAAAAATCATCCACAGTACTCTGCTGACATAGGTAAGTCTCTGTTTTTTTCCCCACACGGTGCCACATCAAGTGCTGAAAGTTGAAGCTTGAGACTTTAGCTTTCCTGCCTCGTGGCACCAAGGGGTGACATGTTCACCTCGCTGTGGTCTCTCAGAGACCAAGGGGCCCGCTGTGGTGCCACCTCACAATTTTTGGTCTCTAGAGATCACTATTAATAGGTTTGCAAAAGCATTTTACATTGTGTGGTCACAAGTGACTAAAATAAACAAGTCTGAACACTTGGAACCAGTACAACCCATTCTCCTAAGACGTTGCAGCATTTAAAGCTGCCTTTATACTGGGGAGTTGTCTAAACTTTTAAACACTTCACCCAGCCGTGTTAAGTTTTAGTTGTCTGTTTCACAGTCAACTTTGTTGGTCACAATGAAGCCGACAGTATTTGTTCATTTATGCCCGAACTGCTTCATCACTGCAGCACAGACGTGATTCCTCTGTTGCAGGAGGCAGTGAGAAGCAGTGCATTACAGTGGGATGTGTCCTGCAGACCGTTCTGGACAAAAATGTAGGGGGATTGCTGAGAACTGTTGTTCTCGTTCCTCTCCCAGATTACAAAAACAAAAAAAGAGGAGTTTGGCGGTTGTCTACCTGTGTTCAGTTCACAAGGTCATCGGTTGTTATATAAAAAAAAACACAACACGCTCTTACGATGGCAGGTTTTCCCAAAGAAGAGTGACAAGTTGATCAAGTTTGCAGGACGTAAACATTAGTCTTAGACTGTTGTGAAGAATTACTTTGGTTCTGATTGTTGTTGTTTTTTTCTCTCAGTGTTCATGAAAGGGGATGTTCTTCAAACCGTGCCCTCTCTGAGCAAACTGTTGAAGGGGGTCACAGGGGCTATTGGTAAGGAGGTGAACCCTGTCCAACACACACACACACACACACACACACACACACACACACATTGTATATATATTAGGAGTGCAACAATACATGTACCGGTATCGAACCGTTCAATACAGAGCTTTAGGTTCAATACACACAATGTATGGAACAATACAGATTTTTTTACATTTATTTTATCAACTTGTCTTCTGAAGATGCTCTGTGTTGAAGGATCAGTGGATCTGTGTTCGACTACTCCACCTAGGCTGTATTGTGGAGCACAGATCTACTGAGAAACTTGCTGTTTCAGCAACATTTAATTTTAAAACTGTACTTTTGAGATTAAACAAAAGTTCATACTCAATTTAAATAAATTACAAGTAGGGTTGGGCAATATCGGCAAAAAATAAAAATCACGATTAATTGTGTTATTTAGCCGATAACGATTAATTTGACGATTAATCCCCTGGAGTCCCTGGACACACTTATGTCCTGGTCACATGACCAATTTAGTAGGAAAGATTTGCTCTTCATAAAAATCTGTTCCAAATTGTTTTAAAATTACAGACTTCAGGCAATACATTAAAATTTTAAATTGTGTTGATAGATAAATAAATTACAAACCTTTTTTTTAATGTTCGTCATGAAACGGAGAGGAGCACCGAGCGGACTCTACCTGGTGGCATTAATCGTATTAATCATCAAATTTCAAAAAATAATCAATTCTTTTTATGACGATTAATTGCACACGATACGATTCTGCCCAACCGTAATTACAAAAAGGGCATGGAAATTTATCTTTTTTGGATCGAAAAAATATCGAACTGTGAAACTAAGTATTGAACTGAACTAAATCGTGAATTTTCAATATCTATATACACTCACCGGCCACTTTATTAGGTACACCTGTCCAACTGCTCGTTAACACTTAATTTCTAATCAGCATATCACATGGCGGCAACTCAGTGCATTTAGGCATGTAGACATGMTCAAGACAATCTCCTGCAGTTCAAACCGAGCATCAGAATGGGGAAGAAAGGTGATCTGAGTGCCTTTGAACGTGGCATGGTTGTTGGTGCCAGAAGGGCTGGTCTGAGTATTTCAGAAACTGCTGATCTACTGGGATTTTCACGCACAACCATCTCTAGGGTTTACAGAGAATGGTCCGAAAAAGAAAAAACATCCAGTGAGCAGCAGTCCTGTAGGCGGAAATGCCTTGTTGATGCCAGAGGTCAGAGGAGAATGGGCAGACTGGTTCGAGCTGATAGAAAGGCAACAGTGACTCAAATAACCACCCGTTACAACCAAGGTAGGCAGAAGAGCATCTCTGAACGCACAATACGTCGAACTTTGAGGCAGATGGGCTTCAGCAGCAGAAGACCACACCGGGTGCCACTCCTTTRAGCTAAGAACAGGAAACTGAGGCTACAGTTTGCACAAGCTCATCGAAATTGGACAAGAGAAGATTGGAAAAACGTTGCCTGGTCTGATGAGTCTCGATTTCTGCTGCGACATTCGGATGGTAGGGTCAGAATTTGGCGTCAACAACATGAAAGCATGGATCCATCCTGCCTTGTATCAACGGTTCAGGCTGGTGGTGGTGGTGTCATGTGTGGGGAATCTTTTCTTGGCACTCTTTGGGCCCCTTGGTACCAATTGAGCATCGTTGCAACGCCACAGCCTACCTGAGTATTGTTGCTGACCATGTCCATCCCTTTATGACCACAATGTACCCAACATCTGATGGCTACTTTCAGCAGGATAATGCGCCATGTCATAAAGCTGGAATCATCTCAGACTGGTTTCTTGAACATGACAATGAGTTCACTGTACTCAAATGGCCTCCACAGTCACCAGATCTCAATCCAATAGAGCATCTTTGGGATGTGGTGGAACGGGAGATTCGCATCATGGATGTGCAGCCGACAAATCTGCGGCAACTGTGTGATGCCATCATGTCAATATGGACCAAAATCTGAGGAATGCTTCCAGCACCTTGTTGAATCTATGCCACGAAGAGCTGAGGCAGTTCTGAAGGCAAAAGGGGGTCCAACCCTTTACTAGCSTGGTGTACCTAATAAAGTGGCCGGTGAGTGTATATCTATATATATATATATATATATATATATATATAGTAATAAATAAACATGTCATGTCTGCAGGCCTCCAGTTTGTGTGGGAGTACCGCAGTCCCAGCAGAACTGTGCAGCCCCACTACATCTGCAAACTCTGTTCCCTGTCCTGTGTGCAGCATGACATAACTGATCACGTGAAAGGCTGGAAACACTGCTTCAAATACATGGTGGGTATTAGAGTTGGGCAATATTGGCAAAAAAATTTAAATAGATAAGTCATTTTCTGATTTTCACACAGAAAAAATACCACCCTGACAAGATTACGTTTGAAGAGGAAGAGGTTGTGAAAGATCCTTCCCTTAAAGGTCCACTGAGAGTCGCTGCTGCAGAGGTGGAAAAGACAGAGGGGAGGGGGCAAATAAGAGTAAGTGATGGACCACTAATGCAACTCCAGTCTTGTTTCTACATCTCTTGTTCAAATTAAACGTTTATTTAAGCTTTAATTTCATCATCCTTCTTTCTCAGTTAAATATCTAGCACTAGTAAAAGGTGCCCTTTAGCATTTTAAAGTGTTGTGTGCATGCTTGAATGTTTTTGTTCATGCATCAAAAACTCTTTTTGCACTGTTATGGGATATTTATTTAACAACAGAGACAGAAATACGTGGTCCAAGAATGAAGGTAGTCCGTGAGATGATCAGCTGAGTTTTATTGCAACAACAGGAAACACAGACAACCTGGCCTGCCACTGTCTCTCCACACTACTGTTGAACACTGTTGAACTGTTGAACACTGTGTCTCGAGAGGCCTCATATATATATTAACAAACACCATTATGCCATCTTAGCAAGATTTGATACAAGGTCAATGGAAAACAAAGATAAACACAAGGTGATATCTAAGAATGACTGTTGTTAGCAAATCTTGTTCTGACTTTAATCATTCTATCTGCAGATGAACAGAATGTCATGAAAACCTAGGTCATTAAAGGATGTCATGAATTACATGCTTAAACATAAAAGTATTAGTTCTATTACAGCACAAGGGGGCATTGTTGCACCTTAATTCTGCCCCGCTGCTCTGCATGAAAGGTATGAAGATGCAACGAGGGGTGGGCTTTGTTGCTTCTTGCAGCCAGCGTCAGAGACCGAGCCAATCTGACGTCCGTGTGGAACGAAGAGCTGCTGTGAAACGCCAAACTGGACACTGGCTCTGTTGCATTTCATTTCATGCTTTTGTTCCCCCACAATGCTGGCAGGCCGAGAGCAGGAACTGTTTGCACATGACCCTGCAAAGACAAGCGACAGCATTGTTGGGACATCTTTGTGTGAACACGGATACAAGTTCCTGTTTTTAAAACAATCACATTGATAGTTTTGTGTTAGATTTACTAATAAATGCAACTTACTTATGGGTTTGTCTTTTTTGTTTGTTTATTTAGGTGATTCTACGGGAGCCCATTGATGTCCCTAATTTCCAAAAATTCCGTAAGTTATTCTGCTGTCTTACACTAAAATAATAATATTAACATATATTTTAACCAGTGGCTGTCAGTACTTTTTATATTGTTGGAAACATGAAGTCTGTATGTCAGTAACAGATGCAGCAGCCCCTCTCTGCTAAAGGACGTTTCTAATGGTTACAATGTAATTAATTTCCATATTGTGCAATTTTTTGGTTGATAACTTTTATAAGTTGACACATTACATGCATTCCTTAAGGTAATGTCATTTGCATGTTTTTGTTAAATTGCGGCAAGCCCCTGTTTTTAATTTGGGCTATTCCCTGCATGCAAATGCAGCTGTATATAATTTGATCAAACATTAAAAAGATCCATCTAGTGATCTTCTTGATAGTGCAAAAAAGACGTTCATTCTTGCATTTTTATTCTGCAAGTTGTTGCTGTTTCAGAGCAACATTGCAAAATGCTTGGATTAGTGATTTAGGGTTGTTTTTTTATTTTATTGTTATTTATTATTATTATTATTGTTGTTGTTGTTGTTGTTTTTTATTTATTTATTTATTTTCAAAAATGACTGTGCCTGCTAGGGCTGAACAATTATGGAAAATAATCTAATTGCATTTTTTTATCTATGAATTGCGATTGATTTAATATGCAATCATTTTTTAATGTCTTAAGTATTTTTCAACAAACAGAAGCAATAAATCAGTCTGTTTTATAATAAACAAAGTAAGATTTATTTAAAGCACAGATTACAATAAAACAAACATATCTGTGGCTTTACCTTTTCACCATTTCTAATTTTTCTTGTTTCATGAAACTAAACATGTTAAGTGAACTTCCTAAACACTGTCTGAACTTCACAGGACAGTCTATAAATAAATAGAAAAAAATATAAAAATTTAAAAAAATAAAGCTTACTGCTTTCCAGCCAGTAACAGTAGCTGCGTTTCCATTGACCATGAAAATGCGCAAATTAGAATTTCGAAAATAAATTAGCTCAATGGAAACATGTCAATTTCGAGAAAAATAATATGTTTTTTGGCTAAATGTTTTTGCGCTACAATAAGGTGGTTTTTTGGCCGTATCAAAATTGGTGTTTTTCGCAAAACTGCAATGGAAACACTTTTTTCGCATCACGGGAGTCACGTGATCAACAACCGACTGTTTCTACTGGTGAAAAAGACGACGACGAAGAAGATAACAGGAAGTAAAAGTAGTATCACAGAAGTAGTAAAAGAAAGTAGTAAACTCACTGACTACAATTTCCAAAAACACAGCATACGTAGCCACTCCCAAGTAGGGACTTGTCGCTGGAAAGTCTCGATAAAAGACGCCGACGTCTCCTCTGATGATGAGCGCTAGTGTCGTGGTAGCAACATGCTATGTGTTTACATCCATTGCCGCCATGTTTGTAATGACTTATCGCGAGAACAAACGTATTCATGCGTGACTTTAATAGTATTTCTTACATAATGGAAACACCGCAGTAGCGAAACTGTGTTTTTTCGACATTAACAGAATATCGACAAAGTTTTGTGCACATTTGCAATGGAAACGTAGCTACTATGAAAAAATAAAGTGCAAAAAAACCCAGAATAAACATCTGCTTTAACCAACTCGTTATTTTCTAGGAAAATCAAACTCAAGTCACTAGATTACATCATCACCTAATATGTTTACCAATAATTGTGATCTGAGCTATAGGAGATGTTAAAGAGAAAAAAGTGAAGAAAAACACTAAAATATGTTTAGAACTGCAAATAAACTTCATGAAATAAAAATTATTTTATGACTTCAATGCTTAGATCCACATTACATGAATGCACGAGGCCGAGTCGGACCGCTCTTGGCAGGGGGAGGGGCTTACCGCACCACTCGTGGAGGAAAGGAGGAAAAAAGTGCTTGAAAAGTACTGTCCCCAAAGCTTTTGAAAGTCTCCAAAAACACTGTGAAAAGTTGCCAGATTTGTCGCTAGTCGCTTTTTGGAAAACAAAAGTTGCTAGATCCAGTGACAGTGTCGCTAAGTTGGCAATACTGCTCCGCTCGGCTCACTCCCAAATCGCGTAGATTATTGCAAATGCAATTAATCATTCAGCCCTAGTGCTGTTTTAACCCTGACCAAAACTCTGTTTGAATTGTGCATTTGGGTGGTATTATTGATTTTGCAAGTTTGGAAATGGTTGTAGCTCCTTTTTTTTAACCCTTTTCTCTCTAATGTTCTAATCTAAACCTGCAGGTTCTGCTATTCCTAGATTAGGGCCTCCACCCTCACATCAAGAGATTGAACCAATGGGTCCTCCCTTCGGTGAGCTCTCCTCATTTAAAGTCTGCTGCGTGAAAGCTTATCCCAAGTTAACGTGGTCTGTGTACTTTTGGTTATTCGTTTTTCATTTTAAAATCAGGTATGGGGGAGACGAATGGCTATTTATTTATTTATTTTTTACTCCAAAAAATTTTAAGTTCAATTATCCAAGAAAGACTCAGCAGAGCCGCTGCTCCTCCACATCGAGAGGAGCCAGTTGAGGTGGTTCATGGACATAAAGATATAAAATGAACATAATCATCCGTTTTTCGTTTTCAAAATGAAAAACGAATCACCAAAAAGTACACGGACCCAGGTATTTATGTTTGTGTGTAATTGTATCACAGGTCCCGTGTTCCATGACCCTGGGTATGCAGGCGACTTCTCCCACCACAACGCTCCGTACTCAGACTATGAAGCATACAAAGAGCCTGACTTCAAGGGCTACATGTCAAGAGACGAGTATCCTGGCCCAGGTATGGATCGAGGTTCTTTCTCTGATGATATGGGTCAAATCCCGCCAGGAGGTGGGAAAGGTTTTGGTCCTGGAGGTGGGAATGCTGGCTTTGGAAGGAGTGGACAGCAAGACCAGGGTCCCAATAAAATGTACCCCAACGAGTACCAGGCCAATGAGTACCAGGCCAATGAGTACCAAGCCAATGAGTACCAGGCCAATGAGTACCAGGACGAGTACCAGGACAACCAGATGAGGGAGAGCTTCAACGACGGACCACCGGAAAGAGGAGAAGGGGTGGGAGCACCTTCAGGAAGCAGCAGCCTTCCTAACACTCTGCTCACATACCTGGTGAGTGTCACTGGTGAGCTGAATATCTGCTGATCGTTTCTTTATATGCCATCAAGCTGTTGTTATTTTTGATGTTTAGGACACTTTCCAGATAGAGAGCGAGGCGGATGCACAGTTGGTGCTAAAGGTGACACAGAAATTAACAGATGTGTTGATGGAGTACAGACTGCGGAGCATATCAGGGGTATGGAGGTCATTTATTTATTATTTTATTTTATTATTTATTTTCTTTTTTGCGCAGGCTCCTGGTGTGTTTAAAGATGGCTCGGAAAAAAATATGTTAATTCTAAAATAATGATGGGAATAATAAAAAAAAAACAGTTTTTGCAGATACAGGGGGTGTTCAGTAACTTTTTATTTCTGGTCTGGAATTGATGACATTTAATTTTTACTACCAAAAACAAGAATAAACATTTATGATTAAATTAAATCATTTTAAACTAGTCACTGAACACTATTAGAACAAATTCTTGCTTCTTTACACTGGCTATATATTTTATGTTTTGATTTTATTATGGGATGTAAAGCAACAGTTCTGAATGTGCTATACAAATTTATTATGAAATATGGCCTTTTTTTAATGAAATCTACTCGACGTTGTGCTGGGTTATTAGTAATGTACTATTTTTATTTTTTCTTTCTTCTCAGGGTCCAAACCATAACTCATCCATGAGCAGTGATGACAGATACTCCAGTAACGTGTCAGGTACAAGAACTCTTTATTAAACATAAATTTAATTTATGAATTCAAGTCATGTGATTGTATCAACTTTATTTGGCACAGCGGTTATGTAAACTGCTTTACACAGACAAAATTATAAAAACATAAAATTTTAACACCACCTTAAAGGAATCCTCGACTAGTTGTAACATTAGTCTTTATTTGATAAACATATATTTTAACTGTAAAATAAAGACTGTAAAAATACTGTAGGCTGTTTAGTTTTAATAACTTTTAAACTAAAAGTTTAAAAATATATTTTAACACGGACGGGGACATTTTATTTACACACAAAGCATTCTGGGTAAATGATGACGTGGATAGGTCCTCGGTGCGAGGCTGCTAGCGAGCTATATCCACCCTGAAGGTTAATCTTGGACAATATCTGATGATCGACTCTTTTAAATGAAACCAGAGAGCGTTGACAGAGAGGAGAAGGTAGAAATGACTCAGCCTGGAACTGAAAATATGGAGGACCTCAGTTTAGCTTGTTTGACACGCTAGCGCCGAGCTAATACATATAAGGCATAATAGCTTCGGCGCTAGCACAAAGGCTAACAGGCTAAGCTGAGGTTCTTCCATGAAGCAGCTCTGTTGTCCTCCATCCATATTTTCAGTTCCAGGCTGAGTCATTTCTACCTTCTCCTCTCTGTCAACGCTCTCTGGTTTCATTTAAAAGAGTCGATCATCAGATATTGTCCAAGATTAACCTTCAGGGTGGATATAGCTCGCTAGCAGCTTCACACCGAGGACCTATCCATGTCATCATTTACCCAGAATGCTTTGCTCGTAAATAAAATGGCTCAGTCCGTGTTAATATATTTTTCTAAAAATTTACAAAACTAAACAGCTACAGTATTTTTACAGTCTTTATTTTACAGTTAAATATTTATGTTTATCAAATAAAGTCTAATGTTACAACTAATCGGGGATCCCTTTAAGATGGATAACTGAACTGAAGATAAAATACAAAAGTCTAACTTGTTTACAAAAAGCTTTACAGGAAAACTGCCTTAAATCATGTTAGTCACAACTTCCTCTTTTTTGCAGGTCCATCCAGGTATCCCGACGGTCCACCCCGGTATTACAATTAAAGTTAGAAGAAAGAGCCTTGCTCTTCCCGTCAAGCTGTGCAGAGTGGTTTTTTTATGCTTGGTTCTTTTTCTCTCTACTTTTTTTCATTTTATATATAAATTTACAAAGAACACCGGAATGGCGTAAAAGGATCTTGGCCTGTTTTAGTTGATCTTTTCATTGTATTTTTTTCCCCTCAGAGATGTAATAAAAAATGTGGAAAAAAAACTTTTTCAAATGCAGTAATTGTGTATTTGTTTTATATAAAACATATTCATTCCATTTCTTTACGAAGCAGGATGTGGGCCCAGTGAGAGAATCTCTCTTTTGTTGTAGTTTGTTTTTTCCTCTAGAATGAAGGTTGCAGCCACATTTAAGTGTATCTGGTCAAGCAATGAAAAGGTCACAGTGGGATTTTCCTCAATGGCTGTATTTAAAGTTTTTTTTTCCAAAATGTGCAGAATACATACAACAAAAACACTTCATCTGGATTATTGGAAACTTCATCAAAAAAGGCAAAGAGTTTTCTAAAAAACATCCAAGGGAACTGGGCCTGACAGTCAAACACCTGCCAGAATGCCCTCCATTTGCTTCACGGTTATGCAGGTAAGAAGCACATTGGTCCCCAGGAACTCCGTACCGTGGATCAGCCCAGCCTGAGCGGCTAGCTTCTCTGATTGGAACTGAACCACGGCTTCACCAGTCCCACCGCCGTCGCCGTCGTGCAGTAAAACTATGTCCTTCATGTTCACCTTAAACTGCTCGAAAAGGCTTTTTACTTGACTCTTCTGCACGTCCGCAGGCATGTTCCTGACGAACAGGCACGTCCGACCCCCTCGGTTGGGGTCTTTTTTTGGCAAAGCTTCCAGCGCCGTCTGATCCCGTCCCCTCCCCCGGTACGTTCTCGGATCCGTGGGGAAAGACCTCAGTTTCTTCGGGCGGTCTTTAAGGAGCATTTCCATCATGGTCTTCCTGGTGACCGACGAGACAGAGATGACGTCAGAGCCCACGCAGCAGCCGGAGAGGTTCATGGCGTAGTCGAAGTCCTCGACGCGGTGGAAGACGAGGAAAGCCGTGTCCGTCCTCATGCCGGTTTTATCGAGCAGGTGGAGCACGTTTTTGTGTGAAATGCCCGGACAGCTGAACAACTGTTTTATTTCAGTTTTTGTCATCGTAACAGGTAGCTTGCTGACCATGACGATGTACTCTTCCAGCTGCGGCGTCGAAGGAGCGTCAATTTTTGGCCTTTTCGATGGCTTCAGTGGAAACTGTTTGGCAGTTTTCCTCTTGAGCAACGAGTCCCTGCTGTTCGCGTTTTTCTTGAGGCGTGGCTCGGGTTTCTGCGTCGCCCGGACGCTCGAAGCGTTCTCGCACTCTTCCAGCGCACCGAGCCACATTTTCTCATCGGCTCCACGCACTTCGACGCAGATGGAGCCGAGCAACTGTTTGTTGAAACGGAGCGCGTCGGACGCATCCTGCTGCGTCGTAAACTTGACCAGGCTGCCCCGGCAGGGTCCCAACGCCACGTTGACTATGGCTTCCTGTACGGATAACCCTTTAAAAAAACGGCAAATGTCTCTCTTTGTCGTTGAAGCTGGCAGACCAAAGAGCCTTGCGTAGCCCGGCTTGGAGCTCACGGTTTGCTCTGGTGTCGCCTCGCCTCTCAGTTTGTTTGTGTTAAAAACATCAATTACAGGCTCTGTAATTTGTGTTGACTGGAGACCCTGAAGAGCCGTACAAACTCCAAGAAGAAAGGCCACATTGGGATTCAGAGAGTTCTCATTTGAAGTGTTGGCTGAAGGCAGCTGGTTTTTTAAATGCGACACATTTGCTGCATCTGGATCAGGTGGAAATGGAGCAGAAGGTGAAACATTTGATGTCAAACCCGCAGCTGTTCGTGGCTGAGGTTTGATTGCCATGTTCCGAGAAGTTCTTGCTTTCATCAGCGCCTCCAGCCTGCGCTCCAGCCGTGCCATGCTGCTGATGTTCAGGGTCACTTTAGAGCCTTTGATGGCCTCTCCGCTCCGACGCATGGCGAGCTGCGCTTCTCTTTTTGTGCTGAATGCAATGAAAGCCTCGCGGAGACTTCCTCCCACGACGTAGACCCCCCCATCTGGAATGTGCAGAGGCTTGAAGAACGATCGTATATCATCAATCCCTGCCTTCTCATCCAGACCTTCCAGTCGCAGGATTGTAGTCATGTTCTCAGGCAGACTGAAAACTCTGCTGGGAGTGGAAAAAAAAAAAACACAGGTAAGATAATGTTTTTACACGTGAAGTAATGTCAGAGGAAACACATGCCACACACACAAAGCCAAGGCAGGAAAAACACATTTCCTACAACATAAATAACAGTATTGTCTAAAATCTTTTTACCAGTCCTATTGTTTAAATCCTGTCTTTGTTGTGGGCATAAAGCGGAGAAATATGCTCTCGTTTCTCCCTGGTTCCTCTTTCAGCTTCATGCATCCTCTGGCGCGCAGCAGTGAAAGTTTCCTACCGAGGTGCTAGAAAGTCCCTCCTTTTATAGTCCCTCCTGGTAAAGTTAATTACTGACACCTGCTGGACGGGAGGGGTGAACTACAAAATGGCGGAAGCAAACTGATAACTACGGTGGCCCAGAGGTGTCATGTCAAATAAAAAAGCCACAGCACGAATACAAACGGTAGAACTCACACAAAACCTGTAACACAAATACAAAAGCTGCAACACGACAAAAGCTAGAACTCAAATATAAAAGCTGTAACACAAATAAAGAAGCTGTAACTTCAATAGTATTTGAATTACAGCTTATAAAGTATATTTGTCTGGCTACTATCTACGTTGCATGCTGTGACGTCATCACGCAAAGTGAAGCATTGTGGGTAAAAAGGAGGACCATTGTTTACCATGGCGACGGGGACGCTACAGTTTGTTGTAAATGGTCACGGAGCGCTTTTAACGTGTTTGTTTTTAATACACATCGGTCACGTCCACTGTCAGCAGTTTCTCATCCCCTTTAAAGCCCCCTCAGACTGCGGACAGAAAGAATTCTTCGACATCTCCAGTTTGTCGTGCGCGAAGTGCGGTGAAAACCAGCGCCAGAGCACAACAGGTCTGGTTCTTCTTTTACACCACAGATGTACAAACGACTGCAGATACTAGAGTGTTTATGTTTTTACTTGTAAAAACATTTGGAGCAATATGGACCGCCTCGCAAACCTCGGAGTAGCCAACTAAGAGTAGCTAACAGTTAGCTTGATGCTAATGGGTATAAAAAGTCGCAAAACCCTCTGCTGAACAAAACGAGTTCAGCTTTAAAACTTTACATTGTTATGTGAGTTAAAGGCTTTGAGATGTGGCTGAACTCACAGTTTGTTCAATACAGTAAAACCTTTTTTTCATAAAGATATTCATAATATTTTGTTTACAACGAGGCAGACTTTACTGTCACTTTTAGGTGGTTTTGTACAACATTTCTATAAGTTTTCTTAAAGGCTTTCAAGTTTTGTATTTAGAACAATGGTCCATTTTTAAATACTTACTTTCTTTTGAGTTAGTTTTTTTTAACCATTGTTTGTTAACTCTTTAAGTGTTCGTTCCACCTGTGGGCAAAAACAGTGCGGTCTCTGCCTCTAAACGTTTCCAGACACTACTGGGGGGCTTTTATTTTGAAAACTATGGTGTCAAACGACTTCCTCTGGTTCTTATGTTTATTTTGACACCCTTACAAAAAATAAATAAATAAATAAATAAATAAAATGTTGAAAGGCTTTAAAGGAATTTCAGAGAGAACTATTAATTTAGTAATTTAATAACTATTAATTAACCACTTTATTAAACCTACGAACCATTGAGAGACACTTAACTCAAGGGATGAAGCAGTGTTTTTTTGTACACAAGTAACAGAGACTCAAGTTTAAATAACATGATTTGGTTCTAAAAGTGGCTGTTTTTATTTTATTTATTTATTTATTGTTGTTGCTTTTACAGGATTAAGCTGCATTTGCCTACCTGGGTACAAAACAACCAATCTAAGCTCAGATAAAGGGCCCGTTGCTTGTGAGCAGTGTCCCACAAACAAGCCTGTAAGTGTAAATTATCTCCATTTAGTTTAAACTCATGTTACAGTCTATCATACACGCCTATCATAATGTATAGTATGTTAACTATCTTGTACAGTATTTTTTTATTTCTATTCTGTTCTATTCTATTCTAATCTAACGTTTGAATAACGTTTCTTTCCAGGCGGTCACAAAGGATGGGTTTGGGTGTATTCGCTGTCCGGGCAGCCTGAACGAAGAAGGGAAGTGTCAGTGCTCCTCAGGCAATATCCTGGGTGAGTCATCAGTGACAAGAGAAGCTAAAGATTTGCTGCAATAAACTTAATAAACAATTCGTATTTGTCAGTGAGATAATGAAAGTCAAGAAAGACAGAACATGTTTATTGTTGTTTTTTTTTTTTTTGTTGTTTGTTTGTTTTCTAGTGGAAAGGGACGTTAATGGAAACCTTTTGGATGAGGCTACATGTAAGGCATGCAACAGTGACAGTCCTGCTCTGTCTGTACCAAACATCAGCGGAGACAAGTACGTTCTATCACTCTGATTTAGGACAATAATTTCCTGAGAGGGAAACTGTTTTCGGACAGATTTATTATAATTCAGATCTTGAAAGCGTTACTCTAAAACAGGCATGGTCAGTCCTGGTCCTGCATGTTCTACTTGTTTCTCTGCTCCAACACACCTGATGTGAAGGAATAGATGATTATCAAGCTTCTGCAGTACGGAGGACCAACACTGACATAATTAGAAATAAAAGCAGAATTATATGAACCACTAAATAAATACACTTAAAATGCACCAATTCGGGGGGCTTGGGAGTCTGGGGGCGTGCCGCCCCTGGGCTGTGGCTCTGGTGGGGCGGGGGGGCTTGGGCTCTGGCGGGCGGGTTGCCGGGCCCTGGGCCGGTGTGTGCCCTGGTGTCCAGCTCTGGGCTGGGGYCCTCTGGTGCGCTGGTGGTCTGCAATTCTCATGGGCTGGGGGGTAGGGTAGGCTGGGGGCGTGACATGGAGCTAGMGGGGGGGGGGGTCGACCCAGCCTGGGTGTCCTTGTGTTATATGTTCTGATAGTGGCCTGAATGTTGGGGTGGGTGTAGTACGTCTTCTGGGGTGGTGATTGAGTTGGTGGCCATTGGTGGTGGCTGGGGGCCATGCTGGGCCGGCTGGTTGGCCCCTTTGCTGTGGCGGGGGCCCCGGGGCCCCCCCTGGGTGCCCCCTTGCGCTGTTGGTGGTTGGGTGGGCGCTCTTGGCCGGGCCGTCCTTGCTGGGGAATGGTGGCCTCTCTGGGCGGCAGGCCGGCTAAGGGGCTGGGGTTGGGTTTTGGGGGACTGGGTGGCTCTGGGGGGGTGGGGTGTTGGTCCCGGTTTCTGGTGGCCTTCGGGGCTCCATCAGTCCATGGTCTGGGGTTCTGTGGGCTTGGCAGTTTGCCTGGAGGGAGAGGTAGTTGGGCTGCTCTTCCTGGGTGGGTTTCGGGGAATGGGAGGGCTTACTGGGGCCAGCGGGAGAGCTGACTCCCTGTGGGAGCATTTTGCTCCTTCAGCTTATTCTCCCCATCCTTCACTGCACACCTCCATCCTCTTCACTTTCAACTTCACCCATCAAGGGTTTTTGTTGGGGCACAGTTGTGTTATAAAAGCAACAATATTACATTTCTATTTTCCATAACCACCTGGGCCCCAAATTTTATTGTACATCTTAGACATTCACTCATTACATTTTCATGAAATTCACATATAGGAACTTAWGGTGGGCACTCATGGCTATAGGTGGCTGGATGGCACCACTCTCGTCTCCTGTGCCTGTGCCCACCCCACCAAGGTTTGCATATAGACACTTAGGGTTTTGGATTAGAGTAGTGGTGGAGGGGAAACTGGCACCACGCCGGCCTCTGCCTCTTCTTCTTTCCTTTTTTTAATTGCTCTATAGAACAACACGCACCAACAGTACATCTGGGGGTGGGGGTGGGGGTGTGGGTGTCAGGGTCTTTATTCCCATCCCATTCCCCGACTGCCATTTGGGGAGGGGGTTCTGAAGAAGGGCGAACTGCCGGGTGCGGTCCTGGGCTGTGGGTGGGCTCGGGGCTTGGACAGTCACCGGGGGCGGGGCTGGCTCTCCATCCTCCCTGGTGCTGCTTGGTCTCCTGAGGCGTGGCTCTTGGTTCCTGTGGGTGGCCCCCTGGCCGGGGTGGCTGCTGGGTTCCGGGGGGTGGACGGCTGGGGGGGTGCACTTGGTCGTTGGCGGTGTGGTGGGGTGGTCATGGGTGTGGCTTCTCTGTGGCGGGGGGCTGGCCGGGCGTCCTGGTGCAGCCCAGGCCGGGCCTTGGCTATCTGCTCCTCTCCACCTCAGAATGATTGGGTCTACCTCCTGGGTTCGGGTGTGTGCTGCCTCCAGTAGGGGGTGGGTGCATGTCCTGGACCTGGGGGGTAGAGTGTGTATCGGGGGTATGAGTGGAATGTGGCGTCCTTGTATGTCTTTGATTGAGTGGGGTTGAGGATGAGAGTGGGATGGTGCGATTGTGTACGTTTGGGTATTTGTCAGGCTGCGGTCTGGGCTGCCCCTACTGCTGGTTTATCTGGAGGCCCGCTGCTACTCGGCCCCCCGGTGGGGTGTGCGGCTGGCRGCCGGCGTGCTGGGGGTTCCCGGGGTCTGGGGCTGGGCGCTGGGGTGTGTGCCGGCCTGGCCTGGTGACTGCCTGCTGGGGCTCGGGGCCTCTGGAAGAAATAAACTAAATAAACTAATATTTGGTTTTGTTTTCTACTGAAGTGACACCAACAAAAAGACTTGGACAAAATTATAAAAATAATTCAATTTAAGCATTCAAGAGACACAAATGCATGTACAAGTTGATTTCCTGTGTGGCTCCTCCCCCAGTTTACCCACCAGGACACCGAAAGGTCTTGGAGAGGAGCCGATGTCTCCCTCTTGGTTTGGAGGCGATAGTACCAGACTTACAACCACCTGGGGTGGCCTGTGTGGCTGGGTCAGGCGTGTCTCCTCCAGAAGACAGGGGCGGGAGGCTTTAAGCTCGGCCTCTAGCTGCCTTCTCTCCGGTGGTCGCTCCCTTCGTGAACCTCCACCTCTGGGTCAGTGCAGTAGCTCAGGACGCCTCCAGTAACTGGTCACCACCGTTAACAGCAGCTCCTCCGTTCGGTGGATCTGCACTTCTTACAATAACCAAGATGATATTTAGTGACCTGGAGAGCAGGTCTCAAGGGAACTGTTAAAGGGAGTTATCCTATCTCCCCAGGCTAATAAGCATTAAAAATGAACTCTTTAATTATGTATGTATGACCTCTTGTTATTACCTTATTGCCACAAAGCACACACTTTAAAATGTTATTACCTTGCTGCTTTAAAATAACAACACATTTGAAAACCAGAGAAAAACCTTAAGATTCAATGTCCAGTCATGTTAGCTGTCTTTATAAGGCTCAAAGCTGTTTAATAGAGATTGCAAGAAAAAGCCACATTTGATTATAAAAATTACAAAACCGATTAAAATTGATGGTGGTTAAAATAAAAAGCTCTAAAGTCCTACTCTAAAGTTGCGACTAGGTTGTGTGGCATTTCCTGTTAATTTAGACGGCAGGGCAGTTGGAGGATAGGTGGATTACCTCCACGTAGAACAACAGACTGTCACCAGATGGCCTCTCACAGCTGAGTTGTCGAATCTGGTCTCTGGGCCGTGAGTGCTGGAGGGCGGTGCGGCAGCTTTGTCCTCAGCTGAGATGCCTCTGGGTCTGATCTCCTTCCTCTTCTTCGAGCTGCCTCTGATCTCCTCTTCTTCGAGCTGCTTCTGGGTCTGATCTCCTCTTCTTCGAGCTGCCTCTGATCTCCTCTTCTTCGAGCTGCTTCTGGGTCTGATCTCCTCTTCTTCTGATCTCCTCTTCTTCTGATCTCCTCTTCTTCT